TCTGTCTCATTATTATAATTACTGGTTCCTGCTTCCCATTTTATAAAACTGTGGTCCCAAATGGATTAAAGAGGAAGAGAGAAAGAGAAGCAGAGGGGTGACTGGCTGGCTGGCTGTGAAGCATGGGAATGAAACTACCCCAAAATAGGCAGCTCTTAGACTTGCTGGGTTGTACAGGAATGAGATCCAGGGCAGTAACTCAGCAAACCTAGCTGTGCATGGAACTAAAGGGAGGTGGGGAGGGGTGTTGGGGAGGGGTCGTGTCAGCACATCTGCTATCTTGCCCTATCTCTTTAAATGCAAACCTTACCCATACCAACCCACAGACCAACCCATTTAATCTGGATCAGCAGAGCACGCTCCTCTTTCCCCGTGCAGCTTCAGTGTACTGCCCAGACTGGCTGAGCCCCCGCCAGTGCATCCCGGCAACCAGTGATCAGCCCACCCTCCCCCTTCTCAAGCCGGGGAGAAGCGAGACCAAGCCTCCCTCCCACACTGCCCACCTTTGCCTCTCTCTCTTCCCCCCCCCGCGACACCCACTACCTACCCAAGTTCTCACCAGACAACTCTCCCCACCCCCTTTTCCATCCATTACACTGCCCTGAGAGAGATAATGCAATTGTGAGACTCGGCCTCTTCGATCCGCAGGCAAGGGATTTATCAAAGCAAAAAGATCGGCCCCCAAGTATTTCTGCTTAGCAGCTTCGAAACCAGGAAGTAAACAGTGCCTGAGTGTGCAAAGAATATGCTTTTTTTTCCAAACTGGAAAACGTTCGCCCCTGAGGCTGTGCCTGGCTCTTCAGGAGCCTGCTCGCAAGAGAGCAAGCCACCCAGCAACCCCCCTCTCCAGCTGGGCACAGCGCCACTCACCAATCTAGCAATATCCCAAAGGCACCAAGCAATGTGAATGCCTTCGCTCCCCCCCCCCGGACTCTCATGGCTTGGAGCCTTCAGGAAACCGCTAGGTTAGTGAGTGGCTCTCTCCTGGTCGAAGGGGGGGGTTGTCCAGGGGTCTTATTTTCGAGGGAGGGCTTATATTTTTGACCACCCAAAAAATATGGCCTTATTTTAAGGACATGTCGACTAGCCTCTCGGGGCCGTCAGCTCTGCAAGGTATTGGCGAGACTCGTGGATCTCCGTGAGGCCCATGTCCCTCCCTGCGCCTTCTGGGGTCACCTGTCTCCTTGCCGGTCCAGTCGCTCCGTCACGGGTTTGCATCATCTCCAGGATGAATTCAGTAACTGCAGCGCGATTTCATTGGATGTGGATGTTAACAACCTGTTAAGAATGGCTAATTCTTAAGAAGAGTATCCTTAAGATATATATATATATATATATATTTAAGGACATGTCATATTTTCAGGGAAACACAGTACATATATATATATATATAACCTTATATATTAATACCTACTCTATGGCAAGTAATCAAGCAAATAGTTTTAATTCCTTATAGATGTAAAGTCAGTAACTCTTGATATTATCCAACAGAGTTCTACCATAAGATGTTTTGGAAACAAAATATAAAACAATGAAAAATATGGCAGGTGTCCAAATAGAAAACTATTTTGTTTGTTTCTCCTTTAAAATGTATTAAGAAGGCAAGATGATTGCATAATAAAAGTTTTGTATGGAACTACAACAATCTCTACTAAGAGACATGAGTTGTGCTGCTTAACTATGTATGCAAATGTAAAATGTGAATTACATTTTTTTTACAATTTGCATAACAAATTAGAAGCAGGAGAAGTGTTACTAAAAGAAAAAACGCATGTGGTTATGATTCATGCCACTTAATACCATTTAAAAATTTTCATTTGTTCCATTTTTATTTTATTTCACAGGAAAGAAGACCATTTTTAATTGTTACTCCAATGATTCCTCAAGTTCATTCCACATTTCACTGTCTGTAATCAACAGAAGAGATGGTTTTGGTCAGACATTGTTGCATAGAGCTGCTACAGAAGATGACCTAGATGGTGTATGTGCAATGATAAAAGCTGGTGCAAATGTTAATGCCCAGGATAATGCAGGTAAGTACAGTACCCAATAATTCAGTTTTATAAAAATTTCACAATCAATCTTATTTAATTGAAGGTTCATAAACACCAGATTTCATTTTGTTCAGTGAAACTTTGGTGTTTAGCTTCAAACTGGAAAAATGGTTTCTAGATGTAAACTTTCCTGCAAGACTTTAAAATTTACTATAAATGAAAACAAAATATAGGTAGGCAAACAGGCCAACAAGCAGATTGTTCTCCCTATAATTATACATTCTGACATATTTTAGAATAAATGGGAGTATTTTGCTTTGTTTCAAAATGAATGAACAAGTTGAGTGGCTAAGTAAAACTTGGTCTTCATAAAAATACTTAAATGAGTATAATATTAAACAGACTTTTTTTTGAATTTGATAGGAATATTTAAGTGTCTAAATTGTACTGGAATGGAAATTAAGTCAGTATAAAATAATTATGTAATAATGAGTTTGGTCTATTTGGAAAAAATAATATATTTTTCACTTCTATAGGTTGGACCCCATTACATGAGGCCAGTTTGGCTGGTTGCTTTGAAATATCAAATGAACTTTTAAAAGCAGGAGCTGATGTTAATTGTAAAGGATATGAGCAAGTAACACCATTACATGATGCTGTTAAAGAAGGTCACTACAAGGTCACTATAATTTCTATTCCTGAAAGTATTCTATAAAATGTTTTGCATGATGCTTCATCACGCTGCATGTTTCCTTACTTATACTCACAGTAATTAAGAACTAACACCCCAAATTTAGTGTTTTCCAGATAAATTGAGCTTATATAATTCCCAGTAAACATATATTTCTCTCTGCCATAGGATTCAGCTTCTAAGTTGCAGGAATTTAAAAATATAGCATTTTCTGGGCTTCTCTTTTGCATTAAGTTAGAATGCAGCACACAGTGATGTCTCTGTGATTGCTGCATTATATTTGGGAAATGGATTGCATTTTGGTCCAAGTAATAGATGTCTTGTTAATCTTTTTTCATTGAGATTAGAAGTTATATTGTAAAGTGAAGAAAGGGAATGCCATGTATCTTCTGTCTGTGATTGCAGTATCCTGCTAACTGAGGAAGAGATCATGTCTTGAACTATCAACTAGTTGGGTCTCTAAAATATGTTGTTAAGCCATACTAGCCAGATTAGTTATGACTGCCTAATACTGTAAAGAAGCTTCATTCTCTTCAGTTTTGAATTATTCTTTACACCATTTATGGGAATAATACGGAAATAATTCAACCACCCTGAAGCTCCATGTTGATGCAGGAAGACGAAGTACATCTGCTCCAAGACTTGTTACAAGTTCTATTGCAATGCAATTGTGAACAATACTACTTTCCTTTATTAGAATGACTATTCAGCAGGGGGCACTGTAACATTTCTAAAGCTATATTCCTGAACAAGGCTTTTTTTCCTCTCCAAATACTTAGTAGTAAATTTTATTTTAATCTACTTCCAGTTACTTAACAATTAATTAAAATATGTATGTAGATACATATTCCCTAAATGAACATTCTGAACAGTTTTCTCATTAATCATCTGACTTGATTTATAAAGTGATTTTGTTCTAAAAATAATTAATTCTTCTCCCTAGTCACTGCTAGTGACTACTAGTCACTAGTTAATTCCTAAAATTATTGTTCTAATCTTGCCTGGTCCCTACATACTTGTACTTGACTTTTTACATATAGTATTGGTGATACAACTCAACCTTTGGTTTAAATGTTTTGCAAAAGTATTGCAAAGCAGTCAAAAGGCAGTCACTTCTCTTTTATAAAAGCAAGTATTTTTCATTTGCTCCTGAATATATTTTAGGATTTAATCCTAAACCTACCTACTTCATTTAATGAGTTATCTTCTAGGCAGACTTGGATAGATTTCTTACTTTTCTTTTGGACAGCTCTTTTTTATATAATGTCAATGGTTAAGATATCATGGATATTTACTACATCATAAAGCTATAAAATAAAACAAATTGTATTTGCTAATTTATCATGTTCTGTCTGCAAATTCAAAATTAGGATAACTTTGTTTTCATGGGTTTCTTGGTAGGATATTTTTTCCTATCTTGAATATTATTCCGGGTTCTCACCTGCAGCTGCTTCTGTCATCTTTTGTTCATAGAACTGGAGGATTGGAAAAGGTGTTAACTGAATATAACTCAGTTTTTCATTAATGAAACTTACCATGCTGACACTATTTTTCACACAAATGAGAACTGATTTATACCTATATTGAGTTTTAAATATAAAAATAATAGAGGCTCGGGCTTATCTAATTTATTCATGAATATTTCAAATTTATGGTTTCTTTTATAACAATTTTAGACCTTTATTTGTCAATAGTTCCGTAAGTTAGTGTATAATCATTGTTAACCAATTTATATGGCCATCACATAGTTAACCATTTACTTTAAAATGCTAATTAGAAGACAGTACATACTCAGTTTTAGGACAGTGATGGTGAAGCTATCAGTTAAGATGACATACCAGGACATTTTGGGTAATTGCCAATGTTCATTACAGAGGTGGTAGTCAGCAGCTTCTGGCCAGTTCTGGAGAACCAGTAGCTGAAATTTTGAGTAGTTCGGAGAACCAGTAAATACCTCCTCTGACTGGCCTCACCCCCATCTATTCTCTGCCTCTCGAATCCCACCTGATCAGGAGGAAATGGGGATTTTGCAGTAACTTCCCCTGGAGTGGGGAAGGAATGGAGATTTTAAAGTATCCTTCCCCTGCCACGCCACCAAGCCATGCTACTCCTACCAAGCCACGCCACTGAACTGGTAGTAAAAAAATTGAATCCCACCACTGGTTCACTAACCCCAGATGATAGCTATTTGTAAAAGCACACCCAATTCTTGTGCAGTTTTTGGAGGTTCAAGAGAAGGTGTGAGAGTGAGCATGCTTTCACACAGCCTCTGGACTTCCTAGAAGTTGGGTGAAAGGGACATGCTCAAAAAATTGTGTAAAAATAGTGTGCTTCTATAAAGTTTTTGGAGGCTGTAGAGCCATATAAAAGCATTCTCCAAAGCTGCTTCAAGAATGAAGGCCTCATGTGATCGGTAACAACCTTGGTAGGCCACAGATATCTGATAACAAAAAGGAAAATGGCACATGGCAGTTCCTAAGGAGCGCTGGGCCGCAGGGACAATCAAACTTTACTTGCCTTGGGGAATGGTGGGAGGCAGCAGTGGTGCTAAGGCTGCCTAGACTTCAGGCCCACCCTCAGTACTGTGCTGAGTCCCTCTATTCAGGGTGGTCTAGATAGGCAGGAGACAGAATTTTTATTTATTTTTCACATTTTTCAACCACCCATCTCCCTCAAAAAGAATTTGTTTCTCTTGTTCAGAGGGAGCTTGTGTGACACACCAGGAGAATCAAGTTAGGCATTTTCTAAATTTTTGACATGCCAAGCCCGAAAGGTTTGTCATCACTGTCTTAGTAATAATACTGAATTCAGAGGCTAGTAATGATATGTATTATACCATAGAAAAATTTCAAACAATGAATTAAACAATGCAATATCAGCTCAGCTCAGTGCTCTTATTCCAGATTAGCTAGTCAATATGCAATGTAATAGTTTATGCAGAATCATTCTTGTTTACTTTACAAGTAGAAAATTAGAATGCACAAAAAAGCTTTTGCTCTTCTTGGCTCAGTTTTCATAAAGTTTTAAATTGAGTCTTTAGGGTGACAATCTGTATCATGAAAAATGGAAAGAAAAAGTATTGAAAACATTATACATTTGTATTTACCTCTAGGTGGCAGAATTATTGCTTTGGTATGGAGCTGACCCACTGTTCAAGAATGAAAGAGGAAAGAATGCCTTAGAAGAAGCTACTGACAAGCAAATGAGGAAACTTGTGGAAAGTTATATAGCTCATTCTGGTAAAAGATCAGTATCAGGTAGGAAAGAGCTAGTATGACATTAACTCTTGTAATACACAATTGCAAAAGAGAGGTTTGAAAAATAAATAAGTATGAATGTGTTGTCCTGTGCGCTGCTTGAGGAATTCAAGCATAGGTTAACTTTGTCCATTAGCCTAGAGACTGAGTTACATAATTGTTGACCATGCCTCCTCTGACTGGGATAGTTCAGGTTTTTTTAACTCAGTCCAGCCTTAAAGAGACGCAAAAATTTTCTCCTCCAGGATAATAGACAAAATTAGCTCATTTGACTTGGATTTTTTCCTCTTCTTGGTACGCATTTGATTACGGATCGTTGGTGTTCGTTTCCTTTAAAATTATAGAACTCATGGTTCCTTGCGACTCTAGCAACCGCAGGAACATTCTCCAGGAGGCTTACTCGCCAGGCACCTGAATGGGTCTAGTCAGTAGAGGGTCGGTTCGCCGCTCTTTTTCTTGATAAGTGGCTGTGGTGAGAGTTGTTTCACCACTCTCGTGTCGGCGAGGGGATAAACAACCTGCTTGTACCACTTCCCGTTCTCTTTGCCTGCCGCTGAGAAAGGCAGTGCGACCTTGTCCGTTTCCTAGCGTTTTGGGAGCCTTGCTGCATGGTTCCAGGTGAGTCAGCCGTGCCATTTCGGCAGCTGGCGTTTCGCGCCCCCCCCCCGCACAATGGAAGACGGCGACCATTTTTTGGTGCACTTTTGAATCTTGCGCCAACGTAGTTGCTGGCTCCAGCCATTTGGCTGTTAGTACCTTCGCGCCAAAAGAGCAACAGGAAGGAGTGGAGTTTGCCTTTCACGTTTGAGTACGGAGAGAGTCATTGTGCTGCAGAGGTTGGTCCGCCACCATTATTTAACAGCGTAACGAGTCAGCTTGCCAATTTATCAGAGGTTTACCCTGGTTTCAGAAGTGAGCTTGAGCCTTTCAACTCTCTCCTGCTCCCCCGTACATTGCTATGGCCGATCATTCTATTTCTGGAGGCAGTGATGGAATTTCCAGCTTTTTCTCGCTGCATTCTGAGGCCGCTGGGCCCAGCACCAGGGTGGGTAGGTCCACCACAAGGGCTCTAAACATAAAACATGTGCACCATCTGCAGCCTCAGATAGAGCTGCCAAGCGCAAAGAGAAAGCCAAGTCAATGCCCATGACTTTGGGCCCACCACTAGATCCCCTCCTACTTTAGTGGCCGAATGCCATTCCCCTGTTTCCTTGCTTCCTCCAGCGGGAATCCAGGGCTAGTCTCCCGATCTTCCCACACCCCTGGGGAGGGGTGTAGATGAGGGGGATTTGGGGCCCCGATCTAGCCCAGATTTGTCTGTGGTTGGCCTGGCCATGAGTCAGGCATCCCTGCGATCAGAGCCCGCGGCCATGTTCACACCCACGGCTGCAGGCCTCAGGGCCAGGGATGGGCCCGAATTTAACTTGCCTCCAGAACTTCATAGCATGATTTCTGCAGCCATTTCCCAGGTGGTGGATGCAGAGTTGCAGCGCAGGGCCCAGTACCCTGTTCCTGTCAACATTGCCAGAAATCTATCTGTTTCTCAGGCTGATCCTCCATCACCACCACTTTCAGCTTACAACGAAGACTCTATCCTAGGTGAGGAGAAGAACGTCGCTGCCCTGGAGTTGTCAGATGACGATGGTCCGGTGCAAGATATGGCCTTCTCTGGCCTATTCCGGCCTGCTTTATTTAAATCGCTTTTGTATAAAGCTAAGGCAACTACCAAAATGGGTAGCGCCACCACTCAAGCCAGTATGGCTGTGGGCCTTGATTCCACTGACTGATTTTTCGCAGAACAGGTACAGGAGCAGGAAGTCATACCTGACCCGAAGCTGTTTCCTGACATTGTTCAGAAACAGTGGTCCCAACTGATGGCTGTTCCCCCCCTAGTAATGGTGACAGGAAGCTCTACGCTTGGATGAACTCCTTAAGTTCCCTACCGTGGATCCCCCTGTGGCGGCTTTGGCCTCCCCGGCCTTGATTCCTTCTGAGATTTCGGAAGGTCTCAAAGCTGAGGATCGCAAGGCCGAACTGGTCATCCGCAAAACGCACCAGGCGGCTGCCTGGGCGTTATGTACGGCCACAGCAGCTTCTTTCCTTAATAGAACTTCGTTGGTTTGGTTACAACAGCTGCAGTCCCTCAAGGACCTCCGCCTACACCAAGATGTAAATAAGCTGATGGCAGCACTGGAGTTTTCTTCGGATGCTACACTCAACGTGGCCAATTTTGCATCCCGTGCAGTAGCGTCCAATGTGGCATCCCGCCGGCTCCTCTGGCTTCGCCATTGGCAAGCTGATTTACGCTCCAAATGGCATCTTGCTTCTACCTCTTTCAAGCGCGGCCCTCTGTTTGGGGTCATGTTGGATGCTATTTTAATTGAAAATAGGGAAAAATGCAACGTGCTTCCTTCAATCACAAGGCACAGGGATAGCAGAGAACAACCATATCATAGAAGGCAGCCCTTTCGGGCCAGGGACTCCTGGTAAAATACTGCCCCATACATTCCTCCCTATTCCAGGCCGTTCACCCAACCACAGGACAGGAATCAGGACCACTCCGGTACCAGGGACAGGGGTCACCAACAGGGCCAACAGCAGCAGGCCCAGCGGCCATTTCGTGGGAACAGCAACCGGTCCTTTCGCAGGTACTGGTGACTCACACGAGGTGGGGCCTATTGGTGGACGTCTCACATCTTTCGCCTCCCAATGGGCAGAAACCACCTCGGAAGCATGGGCACTTCAGACTGTGAGGCTGGGCCTCACTCTGGAATTTCTCGCTATCCCCCTGAGGTGTTTCATCAGGTACCAAGGTGCCAGGTAAAAAGACACCTGATAGACTCTGAAATCGACCATATAATTTCCATAAATGCTATAGAAAGGGTACCTCAGGGACAGGAAAGGCTAGGGTTCTACTCTATCCCCTTCTTGGTCCCCAAAAGCTCGGGAGGATGGCGATCCATCCTAGACGTGAAACAGCTCAATCTCTACCTGAAATACCAGAGGTTCAAAATGCAGTTGCTCAAGAGCATTCTAGCCTACATCTGGCAGAGCAACCTACTGATCTCTGTGGATATCAAGGCAGCATACCTCCACGTGCCGATAAAGCCGTCACATTGAAGGTTCTTGCGATTCCAGTTTGCGGGGTGCCTTTTCCAATACCGCGCCCTGCCATTTGGCCTTTCATCAGCCCTGCGGACCTTCATGAAGTTGTTGGTGATAGCGGCATCCCTCCGGTCAATTCTTGTAAGGGTCAACTGTTCTTTAGACAGTATCTTGATACTATCGTCTTCCCCAGATATGGCAAGGCAGGATTTGCAGACCACGATCGAAGCATTGCAACTCCACGGCTTCATCTTGAACCTTCCAAAAAGCCACTTGCATCCGACCATGTCCCTTCTCTATCTCAGGACCGTCATCAACTCTGAATGGTGTGTGGTGTTGCTTTTTCAGGAAAGACACCGAACCCTTCAGAGCCTGGTGAGTCAGGTGCAAACGCAGTAATCTGTTCCCCTCGCGGTCCTCTCCCAACTGCTGGGGAAGATGATCTCATGTATAGACATTGTTCC